TAGTAGAGTCAGCCAGTGATAGAGGCGAAAGTACATAAGGAGCAAAATATAGAGGGATAGAGTAATAGAGACTATGTTAGGAAACCGACGACTCTCAACCGCATCCTGTTTCGTCCTGTTCGACCGTAACCTCTACGCCGATATTTCGGTGCACATCAATCCCTGGGCCTGTAGTCGCTGGCCGGGCGAACCGGCAGGGGTGCAAGCAGTCCAGGGGATCTATTTGTGGTCAGGATTAGCTCCTATAGGACATTGAAGAGCCGTGGGGGTGTCGGTGTTGGTGGATGGTACGAGCCGTGGAAAGGGTAGGTTTTCCTGAGAATGCGAGAGAAAATGGGAAACTCAGTGGAGCCTTACTGAGCAAGCAAGTCAGAAAGCCAGTGAGTCCTTGTCAAGCGAGGCGAGCAGGCTAGCTGCCGGCCAACCGTCGGATCGTTTAGAGCGGCCGGCCCGTGCAAAGCATTGCCTGAGGCCATGTTGCCCACCGTTATGTCCTCTGGATCAGGGCGAAGGTTCGCGCCTCGGTACAATCCTCCTACTTGGCTAGCATGGGTTGACGTTTCGCCTATGGCTAGTTATCCTTTCATATGAGTATTTCCCCACTTTCTCCTACGCCTTTGCCAGCCCTCTACCCCCTTATAATGACCCACTCAGTTTGGCGCTCAGTCGCATGATAACCCAAGCGGCCCAAGCGCAGCCCTATACTTGGCTCCCTTGACTCCCAGCGGCAGCAGTTTTCCGAGCCTATCCGCCTTTTTCCAATGATTCCCTAGACCCTTAAACGCATTTGCCTTCCTTCCCTCTGGCATAGTTCCCTATGGCAGTGTCCGATAAGCCAGGCCGTTACGGAACTATGCAATGGAAGCGGACAAGGGCAGGCCAATGCTTTGGCAATAGGGTTGACGATGATGGCAACAATGACTAGGGCCCAACATAAGATATCGAAAGCGGACTTGCCCACAAGTGTCGCTGAGAAGAAAACCATAATGGCACTATTGACCAACTGATGTGATTCGAATAAGGGCCTCATTTTAATCGATACTTTGTGGCGTTGAATAGTTTGTTTGCCGTGCCCGTGGTTAGTTTTTGTGTGAGATAAAGGTGCATTCTGCTGTAAGGCTAATGTGTTGTGCTGGGCGACACCAAAATCAAATATTTACATGAAAGATTTGTGCTCAACGAGTTGGATGGCTGTGAGCTTTTAGGGTGAATGTGGAAGCCCCATAATAGCTTGGTAGGTAACGTATTTATCTGATGATTCTAGGGATACATTGTAGTTTAGGTTCGAATCCGGGCGTAGGGTCACTTCGCAAAACTTGAAACATACTGGTGAATTTTGAAAAATAATGACGCTGCACGCAAATATAAATGTAGCTTATTATTCTATATTTTCATTTCTCTCCATATTTCCTTGATACTAACTTCTTAGTACTTTTCATCTACGTTTGTTACCGTTATATAGTCACCTAAAAATCTATATAATACGGATTTTTCATTATTATTCAAGAAGTTTCTCTATCGTGGTCCATTTCTATTTTCAATAGTATTGCTCTCATTATACACAGAGTGAACTGCAGACGCTTGTGCTTAGTGGACATGTTTAAAAGCCATCGTGCGGGCATATCTGCATGAACTACATGAAGATAGCAGGCTATACCGATTATTGCATAAATAGAAAAGTTCGCTTCGAGGTAACATCACTCACTGAACAAATTTTGTTGCCGTCACCAAGTAATACATGTTTGTTTCTTGGCAGTGCAATTAAGCTCCTTGTGTTGACGGGTGTCCTTACTTGTTTTAGGTCCTATGAGCTCAACGATCGAGAGGCCAAAAGAGCCAAATATGAGCTTCTAGTGTATGCCATTATAACTTCTAAGGCCTAAACGTTACTAGAGCCTGCTGACAGTTTTTGCCCACATCATTTGTGATGGTAACTTCGTTAGCACGGCTTCTACCGTAGACCTAAATCCGTGACAACTCTTAATCAGCAGCTAACCAACGAAGCTGAAATACAGGCAAATCATCGGAGAAACCATTAGCTTTTGTTATGCTGGCTGTATGATGATTACCATTTGTAATTCTGTAAAAATTAAAATAGGAGGAGCACCGTTGACGATCATTCGAGAAACTTGGGAAAATATTTCTTCTTAGCTGCCGTAGGGCTACATGCACAGTTTCTCTACTGGATAACATTGCAAGGGCTCATTTTGCCGCATAGAGGCAACAGCACGCTGCGGCGGCAATTAGTAGTATGCCACAAATACTGCACGTACATATGCTCGCGGTACCGAATAACTCTACACAGTTTTCAGCATCGTTTTAGGTTTGTTTGTGCTTTGGTCCTTAACGGCTCTAGGTTATGTAGGACCTTTCGCAAAATTGCTCAATAACTACGGAGTAATACCGATAACGAGTCGTATTTACTTATCGGCAATTCAATTTCATCACTTGTGGAACGCGAATGATGAGCTTGATGCCTACAGCTCTTCTCTCTAAAATCCACATTATGAAGTCGGCCATTAAATAAGATTAGCCGCCCAAAGAAACAACATAGTAACAACAAGTTGTTTTCCACGCAGCCTAAGTAGCGTGTACCCGAACCTCACTACAGAAAAGTGTCTTGCAACAAGCTTTGGCTGCTCTGAGTAGACTAATACAATGGTCCAGTAGTTCGTTTCTACAACATTATTATGACCCCTTAAATCTTTTTGGAAAAATCTTGAAAGCCTTACGAGACACCTATATTACGGTGCCCATCGAATCCAGTTCCTGGAATAACATGGCTCCCGTTGGACGTACGAAGATGGATGCTTAGTAGAGTTTACTTGGGTATCCGATGCGAGACGAAGGCAATTGCTGACTAACTGCATGGAAGAACAATTAATTCCAGCAAACGGCTACAAGAATTGTATTTGTTATCATTTATCACAAATATCTGTAGCACTAAAACAGCCCTATTTATACCCATGATGGGTATAGATAGGGTCATCAGATAGGCATTGGCCTTCAGGGTTTATATTCTTGATAACAAAAGTATCATGATGTACGTAGTGAAACTAGCGGTCTCATGGTCTAGTTCATGCCGGTTAACGCATAAGAATGAAATAGGTTATTTTTTGTATAGGCTGACAGGATGTATTTTGTGTAATACCTATACAACTTACGTCTACCAGGACATTTTGATCGAAGGGAACTTCTAGCGATGACCTCAGAAAGGACAAAGTTCACCCGATTCGTTATCATCATCACGGTCAATGTTCACCGAATGATGTGACTGGCGCTGAACTGTTGGACTATCGATAAATTACTGTTCGACGGTGCTACCATCGGTGGTCACATGCAAATTATCATTAAGCAGTTGTAAGCAGGGTAAGCCGCCCAGCCATAACGCTGCTTTGGATGGGTGAGTGTTTTCCCAAATGGCTCGCCTGCAAATAATACGGCACCCTGCACGAATTGCGGTTCGAATCCCAAGGGAAATTATAAGGCCTAGAGAGCGAATGAAAAACGAAGGCTAGGCAATCGGTGCTAGGACAGGGCAGCCGCAACAACAACAATGCTAGAGCAGATAGCAACAACTCCTAAGAGAGCCAAAGTTGTGGAACGTACTTCCACCAGTTCAGTTCTTTTACTCATTCATCTTCTGGGCTCACTTTTCAAGACGTTTCCCTTGCAAACGACCAACAAAAAAAAATAGAAAATAAACTAAATATGTAGGCACGTTGCGAAAGTTTGGTAGGATAATCATAAATATAACCACGTACACCTTTTTTTTTACTGATCAAGTATTAAGTTTCTTTTTGATCGAGTATTGGTACAACGAACTGATACAAGAAGTACTGTGTTATAGAAGCATTCGTTTATAGTTTGTCTTTTAAAAAAATTTCAGGCCGTTAAACGTTCATTATGTTTTAATTTGGTAACTCAGGCCAAATAGGGTTTGAGAAATCTACTGCAAGTCAGCTTCGTTTGTAGCGCTCACATTGTTACGGGATGCCCCATTGCAACAAAAAAAAACTAATTAGAAATTTTCAGCCAATTCGAGTTACAGTACCGGACTAAGGAGAATCAAAGGTATCCTTGCAGTTAGACAAAAATATCTTTTACTTTTCATCGAACTCGCTTTCTCTTTTGTCGAAAACCTCCTCCTTAGTTTTTGTTCCCGATTTACTGTTGCTTGCCTGTTTCTAATGGCCCACATCAATAGTGCAGTCCTCTCCTGTGTTGTGTCCTGTGTTGTAGTGTGCGTACGATCAGCGAACGCGTTGCAAAAGGATCGGCAACCCAGAATAGCTAGTCAACGTTGAAAGCTAGAGATGAATGCGGCATAAACCGCAAACGTTTGGGAGAAATAAAGAGAAAAAAAGATAAGGCAAAACAAGGCGTCAAATCGACCGATTCGCCGCCATCCACCCACCCACCGGCGCGAAATTACATACATACAAAGCCATTCGCGGTAACAACAAGAACAAGCAGGAGCAAATCAGCTGCGGCCTGGAGCAACAGCGCCATTTCCACTGCGCGCATACACACTATAGCATTACTGGTAAGTGCTGACGCTTTACTGGTCATGCTTCCGTAGGGGTAGCAGGGGTCGCATTAAGGATGAAGGTGAGAGGAACGAGGGGCGCGCTACCACTCAAGCAATAAAAATTGGTGTAGGGAGCTGTGAAGGGAAAAAGCGCGTTCACCTTCTCCTCTGCTCTGTTCGAATGCCCGTTTTTCCTCGACTTTGTTTGTACCCTTGCTATGACTACCTCCTGAAGCGCATGTGGCTGTTTCAATGTGGATATTCCTGTGTATTTATAAGTGCTTGTGTATCTATCCGTATGTGTCTACAAGCTGGCATTTCGCTTTCTTGCGCGTCTACAGTCTTTCTTTTTGTTGCAGCTTGCCTTACTAGTGTACCCTTGCCTCTTCCGCTGTGACGTCGTTTCTCTTCCCTTTTCATTACTTCCTTGTCTCTATACAGGTTGTTTTCTACGTTGGATGCGTTCACCCTGTTCCCTCCAAGAGAAAAGCCCCCTTAGACTTCCATTGCGTAACCAGTCGAAGTTGCACGAAGTTCCTACATCTGCCTCACCTTTCCAGCCAGTAGGTGCCGGGCTTTTCCTACTGTTGACGCTAAGCGGGGGCGAACCCAACGTGCAGACGAAAAGGGTAGCAGAGCGTACCATGGCTACAGTGATCGTACACACTCTGCAAGCATCAGCCGACCAGGAAGCGCCCCGTCCCAACAACTAATCGCCAACTAACAGTAAAGGCCAGATAAAGACAACAAGCAGTTGAGTAAACAGTGGGAAATAATAAGAAAAAAACAATCAGTGTCAGAGCGATCAGTGTGCTACTAACGCTGCTGCTGCCATTATTGGGAAAGAAGCGAGTAAGGCAAATAAGAGGAAGCGCAACCAAAAAGCGATCGAGAAGTGGACCGGCATAACAAGAGAGCGTAAACCCATTTTTCCAGCGGTCGAAAGGTAAGCATTTCTTTTAGCTGAGACCGAAGAGTTCGGACCCGAAAGACCGGACAGGGTAAAAACGAAAAAAGGTCATAGATGAAAGGCGAAACAAATATGGTTGGTTTGAAAGGAGAATCTCCTTTTCTGACCTTTCACTTGATTTTGACTTCCGCCGTGTCGAGCAATCTATTGCATAATTTGCAGTACTCGAAAAAACATATTGCTATTAATAGTTTCATTAAAGATATACTGGAGCCAAGGATGGATAGGTAGGTGTAACCTGGGAATGGCCCAACCCCAACATTCTGCTTGAAGTAGTGCTAGATGCATTTTGAATTTTTAGGCTCAGGGTAAAAAGTGGGCAAGTCCATGGCTCTTCTTCCTGATTTACCGAGTTACATTTCCTATTAATTATTATTCACTAGTTATAATATACTCAATTTAATCGCAATCGCATCAGATGTTAAAAGCCCGGTGCTCTAGAAGGCTTAAATCTTATGAAATCTTTCCGGGAATATTGACAGCTCAAGCTCCTTATCTCCAAGCGATCCTTAACTTTGATGTTTCTGTATTAAGTATAAAGAGTTTCTTCTCGCGACGACCATAACCAATATATACTCTATGACTATCCTACTTTGTCAGTGTCACAGCAATTCAAATATACGCGCGGATTTTTTATCCTGTGATAAGTTCATTCTAACACGGTCTATAAAGATTGTGTTAGGCGCTTGCAAGGTGTCTCGGACAAAGTTCGCGCATCATAACACTGTCCGTTAAATCACCGAGACCTGGCGGTTTTTCCTCAACACATTTTGCGAATGAGCTCTAAACTTTACATGCTACATAACGCATCACATTGCAAGGACTACATACATATTTTTTTCATAAGACTTCTAATATGAACGTTCTGGAATCAAGCAAAGCGGATGATGCCGTATCAACAGGCTACTCTTGGCTTACCTGTGCCACCTTCCGGATTGCGTCCTGAAGTTGGGGCCTTGCGAAGGTGCGATGTTCGAAGCAGCGGCTCCCCGTGACTAGTTATTCTCATCAAGCATGCATTACTGGTTTCGCCATAGCATAGACGTTACTTGTAAACACGCACAGCGGCTAGAGCTAAGCAGTAGTCCTGCTTGAGTTTAGCTGCAGTCCAAGAAACTGCCGGAAGTGGGTCATTATACAGGTAGTTACTCGCTTACTCAGAGATCGTTTCAGGATTTACTGAGAGCAGTGACGCATACTAAGGAATTATTAGGACGTGCGCGAAAGAAGTGGTGGTAATTCAGCTATTGGCAGTGTCACTCAACTTCACTATACTAACTTGAGTTCGGTTCCGTTCCATCGACCCCCTCCATGAAAAGCAGTTTCTGTTGATCAAAAAGAAACGAGGCGACCAAGAAGAAACTAAACACGTTTATGTAAAAAAAAAAACGCGTCTATACGCACTTGTGAGCTGTTAGGAGGGGCTGACTGTGAAGCTACGTCGAAACAACGTAGCGTATCCTATTTTCTCAAAGCCTGCAGTATTCTAGGCATTCAACCCCCGACCACCTCTTCATTGCAGTATCGTTCGACTCGAGCTCACTTGACAACGCAACCTGACAGTTAGCTCGAAGCGTGCATACAGAAATAAGTGTGGATCTCAGCATTCTAGCAAATGAAGACCACCTAGATTAGCCTAAATCAAACGACTGGGCTGTAAAGTACCTTCGCCCCACGTGCTAGGTAAATTCGTTCAGCCGTAGAGGTCGCATAGACGGCAGAGATACCAGTTCTTGCTTGATTTTGACTTGTGATTTGAAAGCCAACCGTTCACGTACGTGGTGCCCGTGACTCTGTCTAGCCAAGGGTAAAAATTATGTCGAAAAAAGGATTTCGACCGACTTGCGATGGTGGAATTGGTGAAGCACCGGACTCGCAATTGTGAGTTTACGGGCTCAATTCTTACTTCGAACTCACAGAGCTTCACAAATAATTTGACTTTTTAGCTGCCGTCTGCCCAGTAGTCACGTTTAAGATACGTAAATATTATTGCACTTCCTGTTCTTAAAATATTAGAATTCAGTCCTCGCTGTGCTACGGGCATTATTGCCCGTATGAGGGTTATTAATGCTGAAAGGTCTTAAAAAAACATTCTGTTGAGGAACCGTATGAATATTTATGAAAACGCTCTGCTGTTAACTGTAACAGTATGTATTTAGCCACGATCAATTAACTCAAAAACGAAAGCAAAAAGGCCAGCAGACAGCCTGGATCTTCCAAATAAACTTTAACCGCTAGGGACCAATAGAAATGTATTAAAGGTTTTGGCCTTCGGCTAAAAATCCCCCTTGAGGAGAAGCTACCGTCATGAACTACTTCAATATAGAACGTAACGTCAAAGATGAAAATAGCCAAAACATCGTGGAACCAATCACGTAACGCTCATATCTGAATGAGGAAGCTGGTATCTGAATCTACGAATAAAAAGGCAGACTGGGACATACAAACGTGCGCTCTGTCTAAATAGTCAGCAAATTTCTGCAGCAGTATACAGAGGAGTGAATTATACTCTCAATACAATACAATTGCGTATTCTCGTCGCAATCGTGGCCTAAACAAAATCGAAACCTCTTCAAATACGAGGATATAAAAGTCATAGGTTTAACACACCTAGCCGTGAGCCCCAGCTCTAAAGAAAAGCGACAGACTAATTAGAATGCAAACCTCCATGTTTCAAAAATTCGAAATAATTAAACGATACAGTAAAAGGAGCGCCTCGACTCTGTCTGTGCGACCTCCGGTTCTTTCTTATTCAATCACAATATCCGTCTTCAAGGTATCTTATCCTTCCATAAAACTGTCGCCTTCCACTGTGTCCGTATTGTTAGAAGCTCCCTTTACTTGAACTCTTCTGCTTGGAAAGCAACCTAGGTAGCTCGTTCAACTCAGGGATACAATTGTTAGTAGATTTAATATTGCGGTTGTTTTTCGCTTCGAGTCGACAGTGCGCTTGTCTTCCGTTATCCTCAACCCACTTTTAAAATGCCATCGTATGCACATTTACGTATCTGTAATTGTGGATAATTAAACTGGGCGTGGCTACGGCGGCTGCACTCCTTCCAGTTTTTACATAGCTACCCGATTAACTCTACCTTCGAACCTAAGGTGATCGACTGCTAACGTCCCACCCATTTGCTGAACGACGTATGTCTGACCGTGCGCGCATCCCTCTGTTCGCTGTTCGTCCTATCTCAAAAAAGGCCTCTCATTCCCCTCTATATTGTTTTGCTCTTCGTAACTAGTTGAGGTACTTGTGCGCAGACGACGCAATATGTCTCGTCTCACGATACCGTCTTATCAATTTTGCTTTATTATCTTCGCTGTTTGGTTCGTTGTCCGGAGCAGACGGCTTTCTATGATGCTTCCACACGACCTCTCCCCTATCTACTAGCGCAACAGCTACAGTTCTCAAGCTCGACTCTGCGTGATTCAATGACGGCAACCCTCGACATTTTGGCCAGATCTAATAACGACAAGACCGCGCAACCAGTCTTTCCGTGCTTAACCTTATAACAGTGCCATCCGTGACCTGAAAACAGGGCAGAGTCTATTAGATTCAGGTCATTTTATTTCATTGCCTTTTCATAATGACGACTTTCATCAGCATCAACAGCAGGTGTCCATATTTAGCTAGCCAAGTCAGCGCTCAGGTACAAGTGGGTGGATGGTTGGGCACAAGAGAATCTTTCCCAAGCCAATTACCCTATCTGAGCCTGTTCAACCTTTTTGACTCTACCCCATCACTGGGTCGTCTTCGTATCGAGGACCCCACCTATGATCTCTTGCAGCCGTAGCCCACTGGGTCTTCCACAGAGCACACGTTCTCCACCCATAACGAACACGAAAATCGCAGGCAGCTAACTGTTGAAGGCAAATATTTCTCCATAGTCATAAGTAAGCCTCGCTAAAATCAGCTAAAAAAAATTTGACCTGCGGTATTCAGGCTAATAGAAACGCTCGCGTACACTTGGACTGGATGGCGTGTATTCGTTTCACCTTTACAACGAGTGTCGTTTTTTGCACATCATTATTATAACGCTATAAACCCTAAATATTAAATGGTCACGTCTGTGCCCGAAATTCGTACGTACTATCTCTACTCATATAAAATATTAAGCCGAAAAAGGTTTATAAGACGTATTTGAAATTTCACAACATTCAGATACGGGTTTCATTAGGTTCGTAAGTAAATACACCCGTACAGGTTTCGACTAAACAACTTATACCTTAGAGGAAATCTCTCTAGGTCAGCCGAACTTAATAAAGAACTGGCTGGGGTGGCTGCTGCGCTTGAAATCGTCGGATCAGTCATCGATTCCGTTAGCCACGACGGAGCTACTAACTCTAAGATGATTATCGGACGGTCATCGATCGTTTTTGCCATCAATTAAGTAGATTCAGTTGTTAGTCGCAATTGCCATACTGTTACAACAATACAAAGACAATGTCAGCATCATAGTACATCATATAACAACATCAGTTCATCATAAGCTTAAATAGTAAACGGACAACGGTTCTGTACGTAAACGCCTCTTGGTAGCATTATCGATGTGCCTATACAGCCATCAATGTACATGCGACTATGCCCGTATGCAGCAGGCCAATGCGCACACAAGATCGTCCCATCAGGCCTATACTACGGCCATACCTTTGTCCTTTTTGTCAAAGAAGAACGAGGCTTTGCCGTGGAAGGAAAGGCGATTATCTATGGGGATTCGCTCTCAATCAAGTGAGACGGCTCGGTTCATTGCTGAGCCATAAATCTCGACGAGGAGAAATTTCCGACGGTTCGTATAGTCTTCAGGCTTACCAACGAGTAAATCTCAAGTTTCTTAAGGCATAGAGGACCGTTAGCGATCTTTACTGCCGCCACAAGGAGCTCTGGCTTGAACTCAGTTCGAGCTCCAAGTTCCGCTCTTTTGAAGCGTAACGTCAGTGCGCGATTGGCGTGAGACACCAATCGTGCGTAGAGAATC